GGGGCATGGAGGAACACCACCAAAAAAACCCAACACCACCAACAAAAAATCACCAGCAAAAAAATACTTCAGTTTTGGCAGTAGCTCATGCTTCTCAACAGAGCATGTTTAAGTATTAGGCTTTCCCACCTGCGAGGCGAAAGATCCTACAGTGCTAGAGAAAAGTGACACCTTGTATCACCTGCCAAAGCACATAATACAGCTAATTACATTGCACATCAGTGCCAGGCCCAGCCAAATCAACAACTAGGGGAAATACATACTTCTCTGTCACTGTCTCAAAGAACTGTGTGTTTGAACATGGTTGTCAGCTAGCATATAATAGCAGATAAAAATAAAACATATTACTCATTTGTTATTCAAACTGATTTCTTTCAAGAAAAAGCTATCTAGTCTAAATTAAGTAGAAACATGTAATTAAATTCTTTGTAATCCATAGTAGTTTACAGTAAAAAAAACCTTGAGAAATCCACTCCTGTATGACTTACAGCAGTCCTTCTTCAGAGACTGCGTAGTCTAAGGTACCCTCACAGAACAGGTTTCCATCCTCAATGCTTGGAATAAAACTTTCAAATATGACCCAAAGATTGTACAAGGTAGTACTGTCTTCTTCAACCTCTAGGCAAATAACTCCCTTTCCTTCTCTTCTCCTTCATATTTTCTTGAGGTAAAGTGGAATGAGATGATTCAGTATCACCCACTTTTACTGCAGGTATTAGGAATATAGAGTTAAACCTATAAAACTGATGTGAAACAGGTTAATTATACAAGCCACTGACTGGAAAAAGCTCTGAATCCCAGAAGAGGTAGCCACTGCGGTTGTTGAATATGGAGGACCTGCCAGAAGCAGGATGAGACAGCAGCAAAGAGGAGTCTGATATCTACCTGCCTGTATCAACATCTAAGGGTTATCAAGAGGGAACAGACTACATTTTCAAGGAACAAGGAAAATTTAAGACACAGATTTTTGGAAATGTAACTCTCAAAGGTATTGGGAGGATTTTTTAAACTATTGTGGAAGGAATCTTTCCACAAACACAGATCGTTTTGGATTCTACTCCAACAAGGTTTTAACGGATACTGAGAGTCCTTGTCTTACTTTAATTTTCCAGTTAATTTAAACTGTCAGTCCAAACTTAAGGACCAAACAGGCAGAGGTGATACAATGGTAGACAGGTACAACTGTATATTGCCAAGTAAATGCCTACAGAAAAGGCAACAGGCATAGCTGAGTAGGAAAACGACTCCAGAAGAAAGATGCGGCAGTCAATGAATAGCAGAGGTACAAAAGCACAGACTATAACTAAGGGATAGGAGCAGCAAACAAAAATAACACAGATCCTCCCATACTGGAGAATGGAAAGGAAAAAGTATAATGAAACCACAGAGGTTCAAATGCTTAGCAAGAGGGAAAAATATAGTCACACTAAAAACTAAAAGGAGGGGAGGGCTAAGCTATAATTAAGTACAGAACACATCTATTTGATTGTAATAAGCGGCAGACACAATTGCTTGCAGATCATAGCTATACTTTGGCTTAAACATTTCAGCTTTACTTACTTATCTTTTACCAGTGGTCTTGGAAAGTCTCTACAAATCATTAAGTTCACACAGCCTCAGCAGTACAACAGATACAATACTGTGCACATTTTAACAAAAATGGACTAAACAGAGATGAGGCAGGAAATGAAAGGCTTAACTGGAATCACAATTTGCCTCTTCATTCCCAGCCTGTGTTTCAACAGTCAGTTCACAGCATCTCTCCTATTGATCATCACTCAGACATTAATATGCCTGAAGATTTTGATTACTTCCACATATATCCAAGCTCATAGTTTCTAGTTTAAAACCCAACCATTCTAATAAACATAACTTTTTTGCAAATCAAAACCAGCAGGCAACATTTAAGCCAGCCCTAGCATATTCCAAGCATATACTGCTTCTACATCAACCTGCTCCAACATCCTGGAAGTGCATTATTTATAACTGCAACGTCCTCTGACAACAGGGGTATCAAAGTAATTGTCATCATCAGTTCTGGAACTGTTTTTTATGAAAATCAGAGGTCTACCACATTGTGCAACAGGGAAAAAGAAAAAGGAAAAATATCCCAGATGGAAAAGATCAAATGCAAACAATGCAGTACAGGAAAGACTACAGCACAAGTAAGGTTTAAAATATCCCTAATACAATAGATCATGTTCAGGCATTCAGTCTATGTGTATCCTTATAAATAAACACATATTTTAAGAATGACAACATAGCTTCTCATAGGATGTTATTTGTTAACATATACTCACATATACTTCATTGTGATCATAGCGCTTTTTCAGATTATTGATAAACGAATCTTCATCAAGTGGCTCTAAAAGAACCATATCTCCCACCCCTATCATGTTGTCCAAAAGTGACGTCTTGACCTCCATTTTGGCCATTTTCTCCTGCAAAGAAAGAAACGAGAAAAAAAACAAAGAGCAAAGTTAGCTCAAAATTATTCTAATTATTCACAGGCATTATCTAGTAACACTATTTAAGGAATACAAGTACAAGGAATACAACCCATCAAATGACACTGCTTTAAAATATTTTTCCAAGGAACATTCTCAAAGTCATTTTATCTATGAAGGTAGTCCACACAATTCCAAAAACTTAACTCCTAACAGTCAACATTGCCTTCTGATTCACTATACATTAAATATGAAACTGCAAGAAACAGGAATTAAGATTCCAGTGGGCACTACATCCAGATTTTCTGGATGACTTCAACAGTGTTCAAGTGTACACAAACCCAAGTTTTATCAAAAGCTTCATCAACATCTCCAGTGTATCAAATTAGAGTTTAAACTTGTCAATACCCTAACCTGAATTTCTTTCTCACCCTTACTTGCATTTCTCCAACCCCATCAACTTTTAAATGGAAACCAACTAAGTGAACTCAAGCAGAGACAAAACCCACCACACTATTATATCTTAGTTCATGAACCCGGTACTCCAGAGTGCTTATATTCCAGTACAGTACTGCTCTTGGTTACATGAGGCTACCAGATTACTTCATTTCCTAACCAGACTTATTTGGATTTATTTGTAATTTATTGCTTAAGAGAGCATTTTCATTGGGCAGCAACAATCCAGATGACAAGTGGAGACTCTGCATCTATGTAACTGGAGCAGCAAAAGGCAGAAGCTGGGCTTAAACAAGGGACCAGTAGCAAACAAAGTAACCAAGTCTGATAAACGAAGTAATTCCGGCAAGGAAGTCAAGGTCAGGCCAAAACTCCACACTAATTTGACAGCCCCAGCCTTTTATTCTTCCAATCCAAATGCTAGAGAAGATTAAACAAACTCCTCAAGAACTCCAGGCACACAGTTACTGCTTTCAGCTTTCATGACAAGACTGAAAAATGAACGTATTAGCAGTGGCGGCCCGCAAATGGGGAACCAGAGGTGAGAGAACAACTTTGCTGACAACACAAACCAAGAACCAACTACCGCACAGCTACAGCTCCACAAAACAACAGTTAAACTTCACCAGTCAGCTGTAACTTCTCAGCTATGAAATGCTATCAAGGCTGTCCTTGCTCCCCCTATCACTGCAGCATATTTTAATTCTAAATATCTTTTCTCATTTTTCAAAACGTCTTTGAACAGCTATTAGCTTGTACAATCAGCGTTAACTTGCCATAGTAGCTATCTACCAGATAACTAATTTAAAACAAGTGGAGCTTTTTATCTCTTGTTTCTGTCCACAGCCACTGCGTTACTACATGCTATTTGATTTTTGAGCAGTGAGTGACATTTGAGGGATGTCCGATCAAGACTTAAGTCGCGTTTGATGTTTTTCCAAATTCAACGAAGAGACACGCAGCTCCACAGGCAGCTAACGCAAGTGATACAACAAGATCCCCAAAACCTGAACCAAGCCTGGGAATTACTGGAAATTCACATGGAAATGCAAAAACAGTGCTGAACTATAGTAACCAACCAAAGCTGAGTCAACTCTGCTAAACAAACAAAAGAGCATTTATTTTAAACAAAAACACTGGACAAATATTTTTGTAGAGAAAGATACTTTTATTCTTAAAAAGTTCACCTCTCTGGTATCACCAAAAAAATTTTAAATATTCACAAAATCTTTTCAGATTCACTTCAACTTCTGCATCCCATTAAGACAAATTCTTTGAACTACCAGTCTTGTTTCAATGACTTAATTACTTTCCATACATCAACTAATGCTCAAATAATTTTTGAAGGCTGGAAAAAAAAAGTAGTCCTTCTTAAGTATGGAACTTATTAAATATTGGGTTTGTAGCCAAAAAAAAAAAGCCAATATAAAAATCCTAATATGGGCAATTTCAACCTAAAATTTAAGTTCTAAGTAGTATACCTCATCTACCATTGTGAAATTACATACCACCTACCACACTTCATGCATCACTGCTCGGGAATTTCAAGACCAAGAGCAGCCAAACCCATCAAGAACATTCATGTATTCCCAAGCTCAGAGGCACGTTTTGCAGAAGAGGTGCACAAAGACACCATACCTACTACTAAAAGCTGGATCAGAAAGTTGTATACAGGTATTAATTTATCAATACATTTGAAAAGTTCAATTTTATGGGGAAAGGTTAATTTTCAGCTTGTTTTTTTCCTACAATAATTTAACATCATACTATGGTTAAAATATTTCCTTTAACTTGAGAGCTAGGAAATATTAGAAACATAGGTGATGAAAAAATTGGACAATATGCCTAGATATCTAGTTTAACACTGAATTCCCAAAATCATTTGCAATAGCTTAGCCTTTGCAAAATATTGTTAAAGATTACCTCATACACTGATGTATGCATCAAGAATATTCTGCCATACCAATGTTGTTAAGACCCCACTTTGGTGGAATCCAGTCATAATCCCTGCTCTGGTTTAGCTAACGACAAAGGAAAAACTGGCAAGCTTGTGGGATAATTTGGTTGCCTATCTGAGGTAACAAGTGGGAAAAAAAACACTGTTAAGAAAAGCCAACAATGTTTAAACATACATTAAACACTTAGATTTAATCTATAATTGAATTTAATCCACTAGAAGAACTTATTAGATCAATATATACAGCACTTTCAAAATACCAAATACTAATTTTAAAAATAGCTTTTAAAAAAAACTCAAAAATCAGCACACTACACAAAAAAAAAAAATTAATCAAACCCTTGCTACATTGCAAGACTAAACTTCAGTCAAGATTTTTAGCAATATGTCACTAAGCTCAGAAACTCAATCCAAATCCTTGTCCAAGTATTTGTATTTGCCATATATTCAAAGATGCCTTGCAGCTGGAAATCTTTTCCTATTAGTGCCGGTGACAGCGTGCTCACCACAATCTGGAGAACAGTACATAGAAGTAAGTGACTTCTTTCTACCTGTATATGTATTCACGAAGGTTTCTCAAGAACCATTTTCAAGAACCAGAACTATGAGAGGGACAGGACCAAAACACGCTCCCAGTGTCTGAGAGATCAGTAATGAACGAAACCACAGCTGTGCTGGTGAGAGAGCACCAGCAAACAGGAAATGAGGTCAGAGGAACGAACCAGAATGGGTTGTGTCCTTCAAAAGAAGGACACCTTTAGTTGTTTTCAAACAAAGATTGCTGGAATGGGGCAAGGTGGACGGAGGTACTGCTCTGAGGCTCTATTTGAACCGTGCTGTAATTTCATTCTGGAAATTCAATAAAAAATAACCTAAAAATATAAGCAGCACCCCCGCGATTTACCTAACACTTTGCTTTTGTAACTGCAGCATCTCATTCTGTTGACATCAAGAAAAACAATGGTGTTGTATAAAAATTACAGCTGCAAATTATTAATATACCAACAAATTATCTCAGAAAAAAACCCAAAATTCTTCTAAGGCTTGCAGTCTGCAAATCAGATTCTTCCTCAAACATTCCCTGATCTCTCCCACACCCACTTGCCACTTGAGTCTCCTCCCAAATTTACCTTTCTTATCCCTAAAGCAAACATCAGCAGCATTTCAGAACATCTCCCTTTTCTCTAGTCATTTGTCAAAGCTGTTCTTCCTCACTTTGGTCTCCTATCTAGGCCTTAATTCAACAGAAAGAGAACACTTTCAACACGTTTCCATTCTCAGAAAAATAAAAAAGATTATTCAGTAATCCTTCACAGCTTGGTCTGTCTTATGTTGGACAACATGCTCGGGAGGAGAAGCGCTGGGCAGGCTACGTCTGTAAAATGCTTTTATCCACACGCTCCCACGTTACACATGGCCTTTTCAAACATAGACTATTGTATCTACTACTTGCAATGCCTGGGATTGCCATCCAGCTAGGCCAGTTGAATCTAAATCATTCTTGTCCCTTTTGGCTGCCAGGATGGCAAATTAAAAATTACGCTATTCCACAGCCACAGTAGCCCTATCATCAACCAATCTGAAACGAGAGCTAATGAAAACTATAAATAGAAGATGATACAGGGAACAGGCAAAACCCCAAAAGCCTTGTACAATTAAGTTCACACATCCTCCAAGGGGGAAATGAAGCGATACCCCGTTATTAGAATACAGCATGTTATGGAATTGTTCAAGGTTTTCCACATCACCCTCATACAGTAAAACAGCAACATTTGTCAGCAGCTTCCTACAGTCCTTACCACACATTTGCATTTGCTCTACTGGAATTATCACTGGCTGCAGAGGCAGCTTGTTTTTCTTCTTTTGTGGCATTGTAGCAAAAGGACAATTTCCTTACCATCAAAACTGTCACAACAGATACACTCACATATGCTTCAAGCTCTGACTATTAAAAAAAAAAAAAAAAAAAAGCCTTTGGTTTCACTACCACCAACTCACTGTAGGAACTAACCACCTTTTTCTTTCATAAGAGTTAACAGGAACAACCTGCAACATCAGTAATTCAATAGCAGAGTTCGAGCTGATTTCATGTTCCAGGTCTGATCCTGAGCTCTCGTCAGGCTGTAATTATGCTTGCCCACTCGCTCCCTTTTTTCTCTGGCAGGGAGCAATCGGCCCACACAGAGCAGAGATGCTGACAGGCCGCTGCTGCAAAAAACGGCTAGGGCCACAGTGTCGTTACCTGAACAAAACAAAACCAAAAGGGACTACAGCCATCTTGTACTACTCATGGCAAGCGTAAGCACCAATTTAGCAAGAGGCAGGATTTAAGTTTATCCTGTTCTGCTGCCTAACAAACCCCACGTATCTCTGACCTCTGACTGATGCTCAGAAGTTGCAAGTTCATTGGAAACACCTTGTGCCTGTTCACCAGGTAAACTGAGGCAGGCTCTGAAGATGAACTATTGTAGTGCCCTCTTCACTCAAAGCTAGATTTCCCGACATCAGCATGCAGGAAAACGATACCATCCAAAGAAAATAGTTGTTTTGTCTCCAGATCCCCTAGCTTTTTACA